ACCAACAGCATTGGCAAAAGTTATTAGTCCATAGAAAAGCTGTTATAAACTAAATTATTGTAGAAATAAAGTGTATTTACATTACGAGATTTTAAAATTTATATTCGAAAGAATTTCATGAATTTAGGTTAAGAGGAAAAACTCCACTCAGAGACCATAAGTTCCATTGTGATTTCCTTTTGTTGAAGGTAATGTAGCAATGATAGAGAAACAAAAAGAACATGAATAGTCCAGAGAATCGAAAGCAGGTTGATTCGCTAAGGAAAGAAACGTAAGAGAATCTTACGCAACCTATGCAACCTATTTCCCAGCCATTTCTACATGAGATTCTGTATTCAAGAGCAGCGGTACATGGTTTTCTGTAGATAGATTTTGTTTTAATTTTTTTAAGCGGGTTTTAATCTCCTACTATCAACTTACAATTGGCCAAAAGTGTTTTTCTAGGACTTTTGTCCTATATTGAGCACTTGTCAATGTATGGAGTTTGTTTCTATGGAATCCTCCAAGTTTTTATTTAAGTCTCAACACAATAAACAGGAATCCATTAAAGATATGTAAACAAACACTCAAAGTAAATTAATAAAGTAGCGACATCTCTTGTTGTACAACAACATCTACAACAATTTAATTTACTTTGCAAACACTTTTATCTGAATATCTACATTATGCCCTAACATTTGGTTATCGAGTATTTTATAAAACTTATGTACAGTGGTTTGGAAACTTTTACTATTTGGAACAGAGATACAAGCCGATGCAAAATGATCGGCGGCGCAACCATTTTAGGTCGGCGGCGGCGGCTTATTATAGAAAATATCGGTGGCGGCTAAATTGTCAGCTCAATTTAAGTTTTTCTTCAGAAATTGAGCTTATAAGCGTTTATTATATTGAAAAATCTCTGTATAATAGTCCGTTATATAGAAACCTATCTCTAATAGTTTTTTCTGAAGAAAATGGACAGTTATAGTAGTTTTCACTCTTTTAATATTAGCACAATATTGTGTGGCAACATTTTTCAATTTGCCATAAGAATTTAAAATACTGGCAACTCTATTCAAATTGGTGAAATTATTTTCTGAAATACATGTGCGATTCCAATATTTATCAGCGGCTACGTTTAAGCCGGCTTAGCTTTTGAGCCGAAAGAAATCGGCGGCGACGCGGCTTGCAAAATATTACCGGCGGCCAGCCGCCGCCAATTTGAGCCGTCTCGGCTTGTATCTCTGATTTGGAATTTCGTGATCTATTGAAAATACTTGGTCTATTATGTCTCTTGTCGTACTAAGCGAATATCCATTTGTCATAACTAACTGACTAAAGGCCCAAATAGACTACACAAGCGGCTTATCAAACATACTTTTTTCATTCGCACACACATTACACAAACATTGCTCGTACAAACACCAATTTTTTCACGTTTTTGTGGACTTTCAAAGATACAGATGTCAATTTTTCTTAGAAATGTAATTTTTTCTAAATTTTTATTATTGAATATAAACTATACAAATGGTTTGACAAAATTCAATATGTTTGTGTAAAAATCAAATTTTTTTAATTTTTGTACAAACAAACAGCAAGCATTTGTACAAACACGAAACACCCTTATACAGTACACAACAGGCTTGCACAAACGTAAAATATTGGTATGTTTGTCAAGCCGCTTGTGTAGTTCTATTTGGGGCCTTAACTAATATCAATTATTCCACTTTTTTCTTAACTTCACCTTGTTTATTAATTCGACTACCAAATACTCGGACACTTTCACAACATTAACAAAATTCAGATACAATTTTTTGTTTACTTTTTTCTAAATGTAAACAATACAATGGATTTCCTGTTTGTTGTGCTTGGAATTAAATAAAGATTTAGAGGATTTCATAGAAACAAATTCCACACAATGGCAAGAGCTCAATGTAACAAAAGTCCTGCAGAAACACTTTTGGCCAATGGTAAGAAAAAAGTTCCCACAACAAGTTAAAAAAACTTAAAATGGAAAATATGTACGTTTATCTCTAGAAATTAAGTGCCTGCTCCTGGATGTGTTCATCCTGTTGGAAGCAACTGGAGTCTTTTAACTTATTCTACACACGCATAGAAGAGGCTCATGCAAATTTTGGCAGTATTAAAATTGAAGGAAATCAATGGGAGCCAAAAGTTGAAGTATCAAATAATGAAAGTGGAGACTTTCGTATGACGGTCTGGAAATGATCATAGATCAGAATACCATCTTTACAGATAATAAAGCTTTAGATCAAATAGAAAATAGTGATGTATAAGTGAACATGTAGTACATGAGGATCCTTTAGTAAAATCAAATGCCACAAATACCAGAAATAGAAAAAATTAAAAAATGCTGCTACAACAAAGTCAAAAAATCCAAAGACCAGAATGTAAAAGAAACAAAAATTAAAAGAGAGCCGGAAAAAGATGCTTTTAATGGTGATGATTCTGATGGTATTAATGATAATGATGATGAAGATACCGATTCTGAACCAGACAAAAATTCCGAAATAGAAAATAACGACTGTGAACCACATAAAAATTCGTCAGAAATTAAAGGTAGAAATAAGAAAATGATCAAGTTTATAGCGGAACACTTTAAAAAAATGTTTTGTGATCTTTGCGGCATACCATTTGAAAGCTTTCTCATCATGCAGAAACACTTTGAAACGGAACATAATCGAAAAGGTTATCTGGTGTGTTGCGATAAAAATTCTTTCAACGCTATCGTTTAGTTGACCATTTACAAGTTCACTTCAATCCAGATCATTTTAAATGTAAGCACTGTGGTAAAGTTCTATCAAATTCAGATAATTTTCAAAAGCATATGCTGCGTCTACACCGGCCGAAAGGTGTTAATTTGACACATTGCTGTGAGATTCTGTGGAAAGTCATTATGAAAGCCTCATTATTGCGCTACCATAAATTGCAACATTTGCCTGAAGAGGAAAAGAAGTTTCCCTGTAAACAATGTGGAAAATTGTAAGCTTTAGCGTACATTTTTACAATTATGTAATATTTGTATAAAGTATTGATCATTTATTTAGATATCCCTCTGCTAACCACTTAAATATACACACCGAGGCGGTACATTTAAAAAAATTCGTGAAAATATGTTATATTTGTGGTAAATCTATAGTTACAAGTGCCGAATACAAATACATATGGACAAACACGAGGGCATACCGCCACCGTCTATAAGTTGTGATATCTGTGGTTTGCTATTGACCAGCGAAAGAGGTTTAAAACGTCACAAAGACAATCAACATCCAGTGGGCGGCAAACAAGATCATCCCTGTCCGGTGTGTCACAAAATATCACCAACAAGGAAGGCTTTACTGAAACATGTTAGTACGATGCATAAAAAAGGTTACGATCACAAATGCAACATTTGTGAAAAGGCTTTCAAGAGGGCAGAAGCATTACGGGTAATACAATAAATAGATGGGACAAATACAGATGTTTAAAGAGTTTTCTTTTTCAGGAACATATGGCTTCACATACCGGAACACCCTTATATACGTGTACTTGGTGTCCCAAGACTTTTTATTCGAATGGCAATATGCATGCCCATCGCAAAAGAGTACATCGCAAAGAATGGGAAGAAGCAAAACTTCAAAAATATTCGGGAAAATTACCGATATTAAATTAATAAAAACAAAATTACAAAAAAAACCGGATATTATAATAATTTATGAAAAATTAGGATGAATTTTATAAATGACGTAATAATGGATCGATCCGAAAAGTATAGCAGAATGATTTGTAAATATACAAAACATATTCGTGTAGAATTTTATCCCGATTCCATTGTTAATTCATGAGTCATTTACGATTAAGAGATTTTCGGAAGTGGATTTTATATGGGAGTTATGACCGATCCGCAAAGCTTTCACATGTTAATCTCTAGACGAATAACATCTCCATTCTTCTGAAAACTTATACGGACATACAAACAAACATAGATAAATCGACTCCGCTAACCTATAAAGACTCAGATTATATACAATTTATTGGGTCTTAAATGTATAAAGGGTATAATCACCTGAATTTTTCCTCGGTGAATATAAATTTTCATAAAAAATCGCCAAAAACTAATTTTTATTACAAAAATGTTCTGGCAACTCCTAATACTGATTCTAACTAAACAAATCCGATTACCGATTATTCGTATACATATTTTTTTCTTGTTTACAAATTTTTGGAAAATGTTATTTTTAATAAATTTCTTAATAAAATAATGGAATCCTGTTTATTGTGTTTAGAAATAAATAAAGATATTTTGGACTCCATAAAGGCAAACTCATCACAATGGCAAGAGCTGGATATGGGAAAAGTGATAGAGAAACATTTTTGGCCAATGGTAAGTAAGTCGAAGGAGGTATAACTACTGCCAGTCTGTCTTCACAATAATAATGAAAAATTCCTTTTAGAACAATATACAAACAAATTCCTGGATATGTTTGTCCTGCTGGCAAGAGGTAAACGATTTTCACAAATTCTATATGCGTGTGGAAGAGGCTCATATGAATTTTGGAAAAATTAAAGTGGAGGATGTTGGTGTATTAACAACGGTGGAATGCAAAGAGGAATTAACAATACAAAAAACAAAAATAAAAACTACCACTGAAGAGGCGGATAAAGATAATATTGCATTTTGTTTCCTAGAACCAGAGATACTGATAGACCAACCTCAGCCACAGGATCTGGCGGAACCAGAAATACTTATAGATCCACCACCACCAGCGCCCCGATTTGGAGGATAACAAAGAAACTGCAATAACACAGCCCTTAGATGAGCTGGACTTGGATGATATGCCCTTAAAACAGGCTTGTAAACGTTTAAGATTAGAAAATCAAATAACAAATAAAGATCCTCTAGAGAAATCTAAAAAATCGAAAGTTAACAACAAGTCCAAGAATAAAAAGAAAACTACTAAAGCCAAAGCTACTGCAGAGACAAAAACATCAGAAGAAACCCCAGCAGAAGAATCACAAGTGAAAGAAGAACCTCTAGATACAAATGATAATCATGATTCAGATAGCCTTAGTGATAATGACAACGATGCCGGCGATGCCAATTATCAGCCGGAAAAGGATTCTGCGGAAACTGTGGAAAGTAAAAGGCGCAAAGCTTACAGTAAACACCGCACAAATCGCAAAGAAAATGATCAATTTATAGCCGAACATTTTAAGCAAATGTTCTGTGATCTTTGCCAGGTACCGTTTGAAGACTTTCCCGCCATGCAGAAACATTTTACCGAAAATCACAAACAACGAGGCTATGTTGTTTGCTGTAAACGAAAGTTTTTCGATCGTACCCGTTTGGTCGATCATCTTCATTGTCACTTAAATCCCGATCATTTTAAGTGCAATGAATGCGGCAAAGCCATGTCTGATCGCATCAGTTTTGACAGTCACATGTTGCGTGTGCACCGAGCCAGTGAGGTGGTTAAGCAACATTGCTGTGATGTATGCGGTAAATCTTTTACGGAAGCTTATGTCCTTAGGATACATAAATTAACTCATTTGCCGGAAGAGGAAAAGAAATTTCCCTGCAGTGATTGTGGCAAAAAGTACTCCTTCTTAAGAAATTCTCAAATTTTTCTTAACCATTTTTTCATTACATTTTAGTTATGGCAGTCCTTATCTATTGAATCAACATCGACAAGCGGTACATCTTAAACGTTTCGTTAAAATTTGCTATATATGCGGCAAAGCTATTAACTCCAGTGCTGAATTTAAAATACACATGAATAAGCATGAAGGCATACCCGCTCCCGTTATAAATTGTGACGTATGTGGCTTACGTCTAACTAGTGAACGTGGTCTAAAGCTGCACAAAGAATCCCAACATCCAATAGGGGGGAAACAGGAACATCACTGCCCTATTTGTCCAAAAATATCACCCACCCTAAAGGCACTTAAAAAGCATATAAATACTATGCACGAAAAGGGCTACGATCACAAGTGCAGTATTTGTGAAAAAGCTTTCAAAAGATCTGAAGCTTTGAAGGTAAGGTCAAAATAAATTACAGAAGATTGTCTAGTCTATTATATTGTTTATTCGAAAGTCTTGTCTAAAGTCTAGTCTATTATGCAGACTGTAGTTTATTCTATAATCTAGTCTATAATTGAACTCTCAATAATTCTCCTTATAGGAACATATGGCCACACATACTGGCACTACTTTATACACTTGCCCCTGGTGTCCGAAAACCTTTAATTCCAATGGCAATATGCACGCTCATCGCAAGAAGATACATCCAAAAGAATGGGAAGAAACAAAACTGTTAAAATATTCGGGAAATATACCACCAGAAATTTAAAAATCATGCAAATAAATCACAATAAGTGATTCAATATAATTTATTTAATTTAGTTTAGTTTAACGTTTATTTAAGTCTCAAAATATATTTTTTAATATAAATTAATTTAAAATTGATCATTATGTAAGTAGTAACTACTTTTTTTAAATAATTTAATAAAAGTATACATATATAGATCTTGGACAGATTTAACTAAATAAGTACGTGCTTCATTTATATGTGTTTCAAATCATATAAATTACAGATTTATTTTTCCGTTTTTAAAAAATTGCCCACTGTTTAGTAGGGTTCTATAGTTGAAACGAAAAGTCGACTTTTCGACTTTTCGACTTTTTGCATTTAGTTAAAAGTCGACTTTTCGACCTTTCGACTTTTTCCATTTTATGAAAAGTCGATTTTTCGACTTTTCGACCTTTTTCATTTATTTAAAAGTCGACTTTTAGACTTTTCGACTTTTAGTATTTTTTTCGACTTTTCGACTTTTTTCGACTTTTCGACTTTTTTCGACTTTCGACCTTTTTCGACTTTTTCCGACTTTTTTCAACTTTTCGACTTTTTCCGACTTTTCGACTTTTCGATTTTTTACGACTTTTTGACTATTTTCGACTTATTTCGACTTTTTTTCGACTTTTTTCGACTATTTTTTACTTTTTTCGAGTTTTTCCGACCATTTTAGAGTTTTGACCTCTTTTCCACTTTTTTAAAATTTTCGACTATTTTCGACTTTTCGACTTTTTTTCGACTTTTTCCGACTTTTCGACTTTTTCCGACTTTTTTCGACTTTTCGACTTTCTTCGACTTATCGACTTTTTTCGACTTTTCGACTTTTTTCGACTTTCCGACTTTTCGACTTTTTTCGACTTTTATTTACAAAGTCGACTTTTCGACTTTTTTCATAGACGATAGTCGAGTTATCGACTTTTTTGGAACAAAATAGTCGACTTCGACTTTTCGACTTTTTTCGACAAAAAGTCGATTGTTCGATTATTCGAAAGTCGATTTATAGAACCCTACTGTTTAGCGTAGGATTTTTAACAAAAATCTTTCTGGCAGCACTAACTGTTGTACATAAACGAATCAATAAATATGGCAACACACTTCCCATTATTTTGCGCAGTGCATTTACAATATTTTTTTTACTCCGGGAATTTACGGAAATGTTTGTTTGAAATTGAAATTCCAATATAGATAAATAGAATTATAGGAAACAATATGAATTTATCGCCAGATACACGTTTAGCACCGCCGCAAGGCTTAAGAAATGGCTGTGGTCCGCACACTTCTCCCACGAAAAGCTTTGGTGGTAATAACTCTGCAACCGGCAAATCAATTGGTGCAAAAAACAATACAAAACCCTATAGCAACAGGAACAACAACAATAATTATGCATTTCATGTTGATCACAGCCAAATGCAGCAGCAGCATGACCACCACAACACCCAAATACAAGAGATGTTTGAAAAATGTTTTCTATATCAGAAATATGCAACAGCAAACGACTGGTGTCTACCATCAGCCCAAGAGCTCTTCAAGGAATATTATCAATTGGAATCTTTACAAGAGTTAAAAATCAAATTGAATCTAGTGAAGAGCAAACTGAATGATTATGTTATTGAGGATTGGTCATTGCATACACGACGTCAGGATCCTGCTGGCGAGATACCTTGGCGTTTAAAAACGGAAACAAATGCTGAATTTGTAACAATTGCCTGGTGTAAAATGTATGAATGTTTGGGAAGATTTCCGGAATTGGTTAAGGGGCCACAGGTAAATTCGTTGCATTTGTGTGAAGCTCCCGGAGCGTTTATAACAGCCTTGAATCATTATTTGTATACGAATTACGATAAGAATGAGGTAAGTTGTGTGGGATTTTATCTTTATATTGGATCATCCATTATTTACAGATTAGAAATTTTAACAAATTTCGTAATTTATCTTCCGACTACTAGACTAAAGTCTGATCTATAGTCTCTTCTAAACTCTGTAGACTATAGTCAAGTCTATAGTCGGGTCCATACTCTAGACTAGTCTAGTCTATAGTCTAGTCTATACTATAGTCTAGTCTATAGTCTAGTCTATAGTCTAGTCTATAGTCTAGTCTATAGTCTAGTCTATAGTCTAGTCTATAGTCTAGTCTATAGTCTAGTCTATAGTCTAGTCTATAGTCTAGTCTATAGTCTAGTCTATAGTCTAGTCTGTAGTCTAGTCTATAGTCTAGTCTATAGTCTAGTCTATAGTCTAGTCTATAGTCTAGTCTATAGTCTAGTCTATAGTCTAGTCTATAGTCTAGTCTATAGTCTAGTCTATAGTCTAGTCTATAGTCTAGTCTATAGTCTAGTCTATAATCTAGTCTATAGTCTAGTCTAGTCTATAGTCTAGTCTATAGTCTAGTCTATAATCTAGTCTATAGTCTATTCTATAGTCTAGTCTATAGTCTAGTCTATAGTCTAGTCTAGTCTATAGTCTCGTCTAGTCTATAGTCTCGTCTAGTCTATAGTCTAGTCCATAATCTAGTCTATAGTCTAGTCTAGTCTTAGTATAGCCTAGTCTACATTATAGTCTATAGTCTAGTCTTTAGTCTAGTCTATAGTATATTCTATAATCTAGTCTATAGTCTGGACTATAGTATAAAGCCTAGTCTAACTAAGATACAGTCTAGTGTGGTCTACTCTTTCCTATTTGTTTATATTTTTTTATTAATTTCTCACAGGTGCAATGGAAATGGTTAGCGACCACCTTAAATCCTTACTATGAAGGTAATCCTCTCAATCGCATGATTATGGATGATCGTTTTCTTCTATATACACTCGATAATTGGCTATTTCACAAGGATTTCACTGGCAACATAATCGATACGGATAACTTGCAGCATATGCAGCAAGAATGTGCAAAACGTTTAGGTGATGTCCACCTTATAACGGCTGATGGTTCTGTCGATTGTATAGAGTCTCCAGATTGTCAAGAGGAAAAAGTAGCTCTATTACATTATGCCGAAATAATTACCGCCTTAACGATACTGGCTGAGGGTGGTTCGTTCGTCATTAAAATGTTTACCCTGTACGAAGCATCATCGGTTAGTAAACTATTCTTATTGAATTGTGCCTTTGAAAAAGTACATGTATTTAAGCCTTGTACCTCTAAGCGTGGCAATTCCGAGGTCTATGTTATTTGTTTAAATTATAAGAAGGAAGCAAAACATTTGCCTGAAATTATAGAGAAAATGAAATTGAAATTGACACCTCAAAATGCCTTACTATGGCCATTGTTTTCTAAATCTGCTCTACCACTGGATTTTCTAAGACAACATGAAATATGCTGTCGCATATTTATGAATCATCAGATTAATGCCATAGAGCAGAACATTTACAGTTATGAGATACGACCACATAAAATGATTGTCAAACGTTTACAAAATCTAAGAACAGCCACTTGCAATGAGTTCTATCAACGTTATAATATACAAAAACTTCCCGATGAATTGAAAATTCTTTATAAATATCAAAAGTATATTGAGAAAAGTTATAAAAATCAAATCTATAAAGGCTCACACTCCGAAAGGGAAATGTTTAAGGAAACCTCAAAGGAAGAGCATATTTTTAAATTTCGTAAACATTTAAATGAGCTGGAGAAAATGTTAAAAGAACATTTGAATTCTAATGAAATAAAATATAAATTTGAACAATTCGAGGAGATGGAAGAATCTCAAGTTAAGTTATCGCTCTACCGGGGACAGGGTGTAAGGGTATTAAATAGCAGTCTTTTTGCCAATGTTCATTTATTGATAATGCGCTCAAAACTAAATGATTTATATAGTGAGACTTCATGTGATAGTTTGTGGTTGCAAGAGCCGCGCGCAACTTATATTTGTGATGAAACAGTGGTAGCAATCAATTTTAATGATTTTGCCAACACTAGTGGCAATTTTGCCCTACAACAGGAACAATTTTTCAAAAAACTCATCTCCTCACTATTGGAAGCAAAACCCAATGAAATAAAATTCATAAATATGCCATTTTTAACCCATTACGCCGTCTCCATTTTACGCTATTTATCAACTTTATCATATAAACATTTGTCATTTGCATTTGAGACAGATTTTGAAATTTCACTGTCATCTAGCTGTGGTGATTTTACCAATAGTTTGGAAGAACTAAAAGTGGCCTTGTCCAGTAGTTTAGATCAAGATATTTTATGTTTTATAAACATATTACAATTGCATCGCAATGATTTTAATAAAACATTGTGTGCTTTCAATAATATGTTGTTATTGAAAAACTTTAAATATTTGTTACACAATTAAATTGAGGAATTTTTTCATATTTTAAAAATCTCCTTAATGATGATTGATTGTGAAGCGAAGTATTAGAAATAAATTACTAAGAAATAATAGTACATTTTTTATTACATTGTATGTATTCAATATCTAAACCAATTTAATGTATGGATTATAAATCTTTAAGAAAAATAAACATGAATTTTTTTAAATGACTTTTTTTTTCCATTTTAACGTAATTATTTAACATTTTCATATCGCAACACTTTTGCAATATTTTCTGAGAAAGGGATAAAATCTTCAATGAACTAGTTCATTGACAAATTCGTTTACTAGATCATAGATCAGTCAATGAGGTGATCATAGAATATTCAATATTATACTGCAAAGATATAGCTTGTAGACGTCTATACAGGATGCACTATGTTACTGCACCAGGTATGGAAAATTATATCCATAATAGTACTTTTAGTCTATAATCTAGTCTAGTCTCTAGTCTAGACTATAGTGAAGTCTATAGTCTAGTATATAGTCTAGTCAAAAGCCTAGTCTATAGTCTAGACTATAGCCAAGTCTAGTCTATTGCCTAGTATTCAGTCTAGTCTATAATCTAGTCTATAGTCAAGTCTATAGTCTAGTCTATTGTGTAGTATAGTCTATAGTCAACTCTAGTCTTTACTCTTGTCTACAATCTAGTCTAAAATCTAGTTTATAATCTTGTCTATAGGCTAGTCTATAGTCTAAGCTATTATCATGTCTAGCCTATTGCCTATTCTTTAGTCTAGTCTAGTCTATTGCCTAGTATTCTGTCTAGTCTAGTCTATAGTCGAGTCTATTGTGTAGTATAGTCTAGATTCAACTATAGTCTTTAGTCTTATCTACAATCTAGTATATCTATATATATAAAATTCTAACGTTACTGAC